GGAGAAAGACGAGCCTTTCTGCTCCTGTAAAGATTTACAGCCTCGGAAACCCTGTACAGGGTCGCTATGGGTCGGAACCGACTCGACGGCACTTAAAAACAACAACAAAGGCAAGAAGTGACTGGCTTGCAAGCTTTCAATAGGGAGCCTAATTCCAGAGGGTACCAGAAAGGTAAAATCTCCACTGAGTTGTTTCCAACCTGTCTGGATGGGGTTGATAAAAGGTGAGGGGGATAGGACTCCTATGATTCAATAGGGAATAATTGCCATCAGGAGGGGAGTGGCTGATTTTTCAGTCCAGGAGTGAAGATCCTTGGAACCATCAAGGGAGAAAAGTGAAGTGCAAAGTGTGGGACCCTATGTGGGGAGGCAGTGACACCAGGGATGGAGGCAGAGACAATGATGTGGAGAGAAGGAGCAGCTGGGGACTCTGGACTCAGGGAGGAAGAGGGGCTGTGTGCTGGCAGCCGGGGGCAGGTATGTGGGGTGTACTCTTTGGTTGTTGGATGATGCATGCAGGGGATTGTAATCATTGCAAATAACATGAAATACGATAGGATGAATGTAAAGATAATAGTCTCCCTTGTAAACTAACACATAACTCATAATAAAAACTTTAAAAAAAGAAATCAAATGACATAGTACATTAGGCAAATCTACTGCAAAAGTCTCTTAAAAGTGTTAAAAAAGCAAAGATGTCACTTTAAGGACTAATGTAAGCCTGCCCCAAGCCGTGGTATTTTCAGTTCCTTGTATGCCTATGAAATTTGGACAATGAATAAGGAAGACCTTGGAAGAATGGATGGATTTGAATTATTCCAACTGGCCTCATCTCAGTTATCTGATTTCTACTAGTAAAATTCTTATATAAGGAACCTTGTGCCTTATCTCTATATCTGGAGAAAAGTATTGAAAATAGATCAAACAAATCTGTTTTGGAAGATGTACAATCAGAATGCTCCTTAGAAGCGAGGATGGCCAGACTTCATCTCTCTTCCTTTGGATATGTCAGAAGGGATCAGTCCCTGGAGAAGGACATCTTGCTTGGTAAACTGGAGGATCAGTAAAAAAGAGGAAGATCTCCAAGGATATGGGTTGACCAAGTGACAGCAACAATGGGCTCAAGCATAAGAACAATTGTGAGGATGGCACAGGACTAGGCAGTTGTTTTGTTCTGTTTTGCAAGGTGTTGCTAGGGGTTGGAATCTATTTGCTGGCACCTAACAACAAAAGGGTGAACCCATCTTGGAGTTTTCCCTTTCCTATATACCTTATCTTTCAACAGGGGCTATGATCCTTCTTTACAATTCAACCTTTTCATTAATTAGTTCAGCAGTCACCCCTTACTCATATCCTTTTTATATTATGCCTAAATCTACTCTGCCATGGAGTCCTGCCGCTTCAGGTTAATGCACTGGACTGCAAGTTCGGTTTGAACCTCAAGGTTCAAGCTCACCAGCTGCTCCTCGGAAACCCTACACAGGGTCGCTATGAGTCAGAACAGACTCAATGGCACTTAACAACAACAACCCTCTGCCATCTGTTTTCTACTCTTTACCTCTGTATCCTCTAGTTCATCCTACATACTATACCAAAACACTAATTTTGCTGGGCCATCCTTACTTCTAAGGATAAGCACTGGACTACGAACCACAAGGTAGGCAATTGAAACCCACCAGCCTCTCCTTGTACAGTGTCACTATGAGTCTGAACCAACTCAACAGCACTTAACAACAATGATGATGATCAAGCATATTGGAAAATCTTCATTGGTTCTCTGTTGTCAACACAATGAAATCCTACTTTGTTATCAAGTTACTTCATAATTGAGTCCGGTTGTGCTGCGACTCTGCGCATGTCTGCAGTTCCCCACCGGTGCCCCTTGCCACCCACCTGCCTTTGATGGAGCTGGCCCCACCGCCCATGGACCCAATGCCGTTCGTAATTTTTGGTTCCTCCAGACCTGCAGGCTGAGGCCCAACCAGGCATTGTTACTGCAGATGGAGCAGCTGCTCCGCCATCAGCGCTTATGGTACCAGGACATCCATGTGTTCAGTGCTGGTGTTGGACAGCATCATCCAGTGCACAGAGAGAGACGAGTTCTCCAACCAAGAGATGATTGTCAGCCTGTCCCTCTGCAGCCACCCCAACCTGTGCAAGGTGTTGATCATTTAGGACTAGGATAGGGATGTCCTACCAGAAATGGTGATGCACCCTTCAGTGGAGGCTGTGGTCCAGTGTAAAACTGATGAGGATGCCATTCATGTTTCTAAGAAGTTCCTGCCAAGTATGGCTGTTGGGTACTCCAGCTCAAAGCTAACCCTCCATGTGGGTCATGATTTTGAGTTCATGAACCAAGATGCCTTCGATGTTATTAGGACTGATTCCTTAGACCCCATGGGCCTCGCTGAGAGCCTCTTCAAGGACTCCTATTACCATCTTACTAAGACCTCCCTCAAGGAGAACATAATTCTCTGATGCTAAGGTGAGTGCCAGTGGCTGCTCCTGGACAAGGAGATGCAACAGTTCTGCAAGTTGCTCTTCCCTGTGGTGACGTACCCTTACTGCACCATCCTCACCGACCCCAGTTGCCAGATTGGCTTCATGCTTTGCAACAAGAACCTGAGCTCCAACTTCAGGGAGCTTGTGCAGCCTCTGACACAGACTCTGGTAGGGCAGAGACATTTGCAATAAATACTACAGCTCAGACGTGCACCGGGCCACCTCCATGCTGCCTGAGTTTGCACACCAGCTCGGAGCTGCCACCACCACCATCAGCCATAAACCTCAGACCAGGGAGCCTCAGGGCTCTCACCCAGGAACCAAGTGTTGCCAGCCCCAGAGTGCTACCCCACCTGCCCTGCTGGGCAGAATATCTGTCTCTTTCTCTCTGTGTTGTGTCCAGCCTCCAAGCCTATACCAGCTGTATATAGCTACTTCTCTGCCTTCTGTCACCTCACTCACCAAACATACGTATTTAGAACAACAAAACAAAAAGACACTAATTTTGTTTTAATCAGTTTATGTAACACATTCTCTAATGTTCTATAATATACATCGTCCTGTCTCCCATGCTTCGTATACTTGTTCCTGTTCCCATTCATACAATTTTCTTCTCCCTGTCTTCTGTTTCTTCAAAACCAAACTATAAGACTCAGTCAAATTCCCATCTTCTCTATGAAGTCTTCTCAGACTTCTCAGAAAGAAATCAAGTCTTCTTGATTTCTTTCCTTCTGCATGTAGAATAAATACAACACAGTTTCAAATGTAGTTTTCCTCTGATTATTTCATCTTGGGTAACATCATCTCTAGAACTACTTGAAGACAGACTCTAAGTTAAGTTTCGTTTATGCCTCTCCTGGTTCATTTAGCACATTGAATAAAAATTATTGATTTTTGTTAACAATATAGCAAAATATATTGAGTTAAGATAAATTTAGATCATTCTATAGTTTCTTTTTTATTCTGATTTAGTAACTTGTGTTATTTGGTGAAATCTTTACATTAAGTTTTTAATAATCCTGGGAATTTTCATATAAATCAATTCAGTCTTTAAATATGCTATAGCAGATTTAATTATAAGTCTCCAAAATTATCATATTACAATTAAGAGATATTTAATTGTGGTGGACAGATTACAAAACTACTTTTGTTCTATGGCTGTACAAATTAAATAGCTAATTTTTACAACATGCTTTGATGTCTTTGCTAATCTTGTTTTTGTATGTCCCATAAAATTGTAAGAATTTTCTGCTTACAAATTTTTAGTGTAGTGTATACTCAATTATAAGTCTTGGTTATTTATTCATAATTTTTGTTCTCTTCATCTTGAAAAGACTTAGAATTTTATTTCATGAAAAATATCTTAAAAGGATTTCTATTATATTAAAAATCTAGCAATTTTAAGGTCACAATTTGTAAATTTAAAAATAATTGGAAGTTGTTAAGTGCCACTGAGTCACTTTCAACTCATAGTGACCCTATATAGGATTTCCAAGAAGCAGCTGATGAGCCTGAACTGGCCGACCTTTGGGTTCAACCTGACCTTGCAGCCCAGTGCATTAACCTGTAGTGCCGCCACACCAGGGTTCCAGTTGGAAGTTAGGATGAGATATACTGTTATTCTGACTGACAATTTTTCTTCGTAGGTTAAAATAAATCATAACTATTCCAACACACTTCAAAGTTTTTTTCTATTTTCTTTGTTGTTTTAAAAGGGAGATCGTGGAAGTCCAGGACCACTAGGTGCCCAGGGGGAAAAAGGTGTTATGGTAAGAGCTTAGTGACTTGGAAATCATTTTGCCAAAGCCTAATAAAGTTAAAACATTACCTTGACTGGAATTTAAGTGAAAGTGTTATTTTATAGTAAACTTCAATTAGAATTTTCTTCTCTTTTCACAATGTTGTGTTGCACTAAAAATCATGCCAATCAGATAATTAATCAAATAATTCTATACCTTCTGCTTAATTATTGATATGGTGGTGGTGGCAGTTATGTGCCATGGAGCCGATTCCAACTCACAGTGACTCTGTGTGGGATTTCCGAGACTATAAATCTTTATAGGAGCAGAAAGCCTCATCTTGCTCCCATGAACAGCTCGTAGTTTTGAACTGTTGACCTTGAGGTTAGCAGCCCAATTCATTAAGTTAAAAAAGACCAGGGCATTCAGTACAAATTGGCATTATGACAAAATGGAGAATGAACACATCAAATCACTTAACAGTGATTACTACATCATTACACAACTACCAAAGTACATCATTAGATAACTGCCAAATCATTGAAAAATCACTCTCCAGCCAAACTGACACATAACCTTAACCATCACAGCCAGCATTACTCTTGCCTAAAACTTCAGCATTTCTTACTGCCAGATGAACACTGCTAATATGCATTATAGCCAGATAGCAGATTCCCCCCACCCCCACCCCATGGTTTTAATGTGAAATGCTATATCTGGCAAAGGACTAATCTCTAAAATTTTGGAAAACAATAAAAAGACAAGCAATTCAATTTAAAAATGGGCAGAGGACATGAACGGAGACTTCACCAAAGAAGATACTCAGGCAGCCAACAAACACAAGAAAAAATGCTCAAGATCATTAGTCACTGTTGTAAAGTATCGTTGAGTGCATTCCAACTCATAGTAACCCTATTTCCAAGGAATGGCTGATGGATTTGAACTTCTGGCCTTGAGGTTAACTCTCCATGTCACCATCTCTGCCTCCATCACTGGTGTCACTGCTTCTCTAGATAGAATCTCATATCCCACTCATGCTCTTCTCCCTTGATGGTCCTAGAGTCCTCTGTTCCTGGAATGTAAGATTATCCACTCCATCCTTTATGCTACAAAACTTCTACCTTTACAATTGTGACCATTGCAATTAGTCATGATAACAATTACTCACTATTTAATCATAAGAATCTTATCCCCATCTCCTTTAACCAGACCCATCTAGGCAAGATGAAAACTATTCAGTGGGGATTCTACCTTCCCCTGTACACTCTAAAAATAAATTCCCTCTTGAAAACTTATAAGTCAGTTACTTCATGCCTTTATAACCCTTCTCCTTCCCCCACCCCGCCCCCTTTTTAGGTAGTCAATGTCTAAGTTGCCTGTCCCTATTGACTCTGTATACAGAGGGGATATAATTGATTCTTGATGTGAAGGCTCCTTCCCACTCAAGTTGATATTTTGAGCTACTACATCCAGAAGTGTAGGTCAAGCTCCTCAAATTGTAGCAATTTACACTTGTTTCCCTTATCAAAATTTTTTTATCTTCCTCTAGTTGAGATCTGATCATAAAGCCATTTGAAGCTGGGTCAAATGGGTACTATCTCATTTCGATATTTTTAAATAAAGGTTTTATGACTTTTTAGCAATACTTTTTGACTAACCCTTATACTATTGCATGCACAATCTGAAATAACTAATAACAAACAATGTTTTATGAGTTAATGCATAGCTATATATGCATGCTGAGCAGGTGTAGGATGGTAAATATACACCTACATATACACCTACAAGTATATATAGGTTTGACGGATATTTCTAAATATTCGTTTGTATGTGCTGTAAATATACCCAGGTATTTAGTAGACCACACAGGAACCAAAGATATTCAAACTTCCTAGTCAAAAAACAAACATCTTGAGGAACAGAGTCGCTGAGTTTGGGGACTTAGAACCATAGTCTTGGGGGACATTCTAGGTCAATTGGCATACCATAAAGACAATGGTCAACATCCTACTGTGATGACCAGTACAGTCACTACTCACCCAATGGGTCTTCAAAATTTGCATCTAAGGAGCAACTATTGATCTCTTCCGTCCCAGAGCAAAGAAGAGTGAAGAAAATCAAAGACTTAAACAATTAATCTAATGTAAAATAATTTAAAAAACGACTAGCCTAAATGGTTTGATAGAGACTGTTAGAACTTCCAAGACTATGGGCCTTGTCATTGTTGGTGGTGGTGGTTATGTGCTGTGAAGTCAGTTCTGACCCATAGCAACCCTGTACAGGATTTCCGAGGCTGTAAATCTTTACAGGAGCCTCGTAAAGAAAGAAAGCCTCATCTTTCTCCCACGGAACAGCTGGTAGTTTCGAACTGCTGAGTGCCGTCAAATCAGTTCCAAATCAGTGACGCTGTATAGCATTTAAAATATCTATATATATATTGAGTGTATGCTGTACTGTTACAATTTAGAAACACTTTATTAAGATTTTTCAGAGCATTTTGTTTCACTACAAGTTTAATTATAATTTCAGATTGGCAGCTATGGGATCAAATGAGAACAAGTAATAGATTAAATAGATGAAATCTCACCCAGGTAGATAAAACTGAATAGTTTTATTTATAACCTTCCGTGGTTGTAGAAAGTACAATATTATTGATTTGGTTATATTTTTTTAGCTGTAGCTTCTATATCTTTTTTTCTTTTTTTAAGTTTCTATTGTGATTTGAGTGAAAGTTTACAGGGCAGATCATCAGTTTTACATTTAAAAAACTCACATACTTTGTTTCATTACAATTACAATGATTATAAGCCCCACGATGTACCATCAGTTAACAATATTTATCTCTATTCATTTTATCTCTTTTTTTTAACACTCAGGCATATATAATAATTTACACCACCAAAGAGCACATTCTGCAAGTCTACCTCCTGGGCACCAACTCTCGTTCCCTCTCTTTTCATGAATTTAGAGTCCTGAGCTGCTCCCTCTCTCCATGTCCCCTCTCTGCCTCCATCTCTGGTGTTGCTGCTTCTTTGGATAAGTTCCCACATTCTGCTTGTGCTCTTCTCCTTTGATGGACCTAGGGGCCTCTGTTTTTGGACTATAAGATTAACTACTCCCCCATTTTTGTTACAAAACTTCTACCTTGACAATTGTGACAGTTGCAATTAGTCATGATAGCAATTACTCACTATTGAATCATAAGCATCTTATCCCCATCTCTTTTTACCAGATCCATCTAGACAAGATGAAATTATTCAGTGGGGACTCCATCCTCGCCCCCACACTCCTAAACCAAACTCCCTTTTGAAAACTTGAAGCCAGTCACTCCGTGCCTTTATCGCTCCCTCATTTTAGGTAGCCAGTATCAAAGTTTCCCATCCCTATCTATCTCATATACAAAGGGGATAGCATTGATACTTGATGTGAACACTCCTTCCCTCTCTGTTGGTATTTTGAGCTACTACATCCATGTATAGAAGGGATATCATTGATAGTTGATGTGAACACACCTTCCATCTCTGTTGGTATTTTGAGCTACTGCATCCATGAGTATAGGTCAAGTGCATCAAATTGTAGCAATTTACACTTGTTACTTTATCAAAAATTGTTGTTGTTTTTTATCTTCCTCTAGTCAAGTTCTGATTATCAAGCCATCAAGGTTAGGTCAAATGGATACTATCTGCAAGTTTGGGTATTCTTGTGTGTCTCCCCTCACTTCATATCAGCTGGATGCTACACTCTCAGCTTTAGTCCTCTGTGGCTAGGTCCTTGACCATGGGCTTAGGTGTCCCCAGGTCTCACCACACGTTGGACCAACCAGCCCTTCCTCTTCTCTCTCATCTGCAGGTCAGTGGGAGTCTATGGAACATGGTTGAACTCAGCCCATTTCTTCATTGCTGCCTTTCTCCCTCTTCCACTCACCAGTAGACCAATATGGTTGTCTGCAAGCTTACATGCCTGCTCATGTGTTCCCTTTTGAGTTTCAGTCTTAGAGGGAGGTTTGTCCTGAAGAGACTTGATGGCTTGCCTTGACGGCTTCCCAGAAAACAAATTTCTTATTCTTGTAGTAGCCAATCATACTGCCATTTTTGTTTTGGGTTTTTCCTGATGATCTTTCTTTGAAGATGTATCTTCTGTCACTCTAGCTGTTCCAAACTTGTCTGCTTGTCCTTTCTATTGAGGATGTCTCACCTCAGAAGGTTCTGAATGGGGCTCAGGATTCCACCTAATGTCCTATACTCTGCAAAGGCAATGCAAGGGCCCTATTTCACTGAGCAAGTTGTAGAACCCCTTTTAGGTATTCCAATCAGTTATAGGCTTAAGATGGGCTTACAAGCTTTCTGTAATCATGTTTCCTGACATTCCTTTCTATCCCACTCAAATGTCTATTTTACAATAGTAGGCAAGGGAAATCAATATTCATAAGACAATCAAACATCTTAGTATTATTTCCCCTCTTTAGACTATGCCTCGATTCCTGTATCATAGAGCCCTGTTGTCCAAAGGTTGAGCATGCATCACTATTTACCTCTGTCCCATTTAGCCCATGCTAACTTGTCTCAGTGTTCCCCCTATCTACCTTGTTCTTCCACCCCCTCCCCTTTTTGTGTATTGCCCTCCCCAACACCCGAACTATGATGTGTTTGCACCCTACTCTGTGCTATACCATCACCTCCGTCCACCTCACCCAAAACCCCCCACCCTGTCCCCACCGGTAACCAACAAAGATTTTGTTTTTCCCTTTTAGTATGGGTATCTTTTCTTAAGCTTTTACAATATGGTCTTATACAATATCCTTTTGTGACTGACTAATTTCACTCAGCACAATGTCCTCAAGGTTCATCCATGTTATGTGGTGGCTTATAGCTTCCATGTTATTCTTCAATGTAGCATAATATTCCATTGTGTATATGTACCAAAGTTTTTTTATCCATTTTTCCGTTGATGGGCACTTAGACTGTCTCCATCTTTTTTCTATTGTAAATAGTGCTGCTATGAATATTGGTGTGCATATATCTAGTCATGTTATGGCTCATATTTCTTGTGAATATATACCAAGTAGAGGAGTTGCTGGATCATAAGGTATTTCTACTTCCAACTTTCTGAGGAGTGCCATTCTGTTTTCCAGAGTAGTTGGACCATTTTGCATTCTCACCAGAAATGTAGGAGGGTCCTAGTCTCTCCACATCCTTGCCAGAATTTATTGTCCTCTACTTTTTTTAACTTTGCTGTTATTGCTGGTGTAAGATGATGTCTCGTTTTTTTGATTTGTATCTCTCTAATGGCTAATGATCATGAACATTTCTTCATATGTTTGTTGGCTGCTCGAATCTCCTCCTTGGTAAAGTGTCTGCTCATGTCCTGTGCCCATATTTTAATTGGGTTAGTTGTCTTTTTATTGTAGAGTGTTGTAGTTTACTATAGGCTTTAGAAATTAGTCCCTTATCTGATGTGTCATTGCAAACTATTTTTTCCCATTTTGTGGGCTCCCTTTTTACTCTTTTGGTGAAATCCTTTGATGCACATAAGTTTCTAATTTTTAGAATGTCCCAATCATCTATTTTGTCTTCTTTTGTTTGTGTAAGTTTTGCATTGTTTGGTAGTCTGTATATGCCCTGGGTTAGAGTCCTTAAATTTGTCCCTATTTTTTCATTGATGACCTTCATAATTCTGCGGTTCACATTTAGGTCTTTAATCCATGATGAGCTGGGTTTTTTATATGGCATGAGGTAAAAGTCTTGTTTCAATCTTTTGCATATGGATTTTCAGTTCTGCCAGTACCGTCTGTTGAAGAGACTATGTCTTCCCCACTCAATGTACTTTGGTCCTTTGTCAAAGATCAGTTAGCTGTATGTGGATGGGTTAATTTCTGGGTTCTCAATTCGGTTCCACTGATCTGTGTATCTTTTCATTGTACCAATACTAGGCATTTTTGACCACTGTAGCTCTGTAGTAAATTGCTTCTTTATCTTCTTGAGGAAATCCTCTCAAGGCTACAATGATTATTTGAACCACAAAGAAGGAACTACATTGATCTTTCTATTCAACTCTGTAGGATAAAAAGGAATCAGTTCTCATAAGTTAGTTAAATAGTCAGCTGCACAATAATCTTTAAAAAGATTTAGAACTTATTTTGCACTTCTTTTCAACTAGGTTCTCTCATTATATTAATGAGTCAAATAGGGATTAATAGTGATTATGGCAAGTTAGTATGTCATATTGTCAAAGCCTTGTTTTTAAGCACTTAGCTTTTGACTTTCTGCTTTTCATTCTATCTTGGACTTCCGATTTTCATGCAGCATATTCAACATGCAATTCACTCAGTATATGGTGCCATGATTCATTCTTCAATCTATCCTGAACACCTCGAATCCCAACTCTGTATCATCAAATAAATGATTTTTACAAATTGTCCTTCTAAGAACAGGGAGGTGATCTATTGAAAATTTAATGTAGCAAAATAATCCTACTAACAAATTAAATTACATCTTATTTCCAAGCTATATAAAAAAGCAATGTATGTGTGTGTGTGAAAAAGAGAGAGATTGGAAATGGTCCCAACTTCAAGGATACAGCAAGAATTGGTTCCTAGGACTTAACTCGACTTATATTGAGGGGATAAAAAAGAAATCAATACCATTTTCAGAGCTATTAAAGAAAATGTTTAATGAGGATTAGTTAAAGACAACTCATTAAGTAGCCCTTGATTTAAGAGTTTATGCCAGGTATTATGCATTTGGGCTATCGTTATTAAGTGCCATTGAGTCAGTTCCAACTCACAGCAACCCCATATAGGGTCTCTAAGGAGTGATTGGTGGTTTTGAATCACCAAAATTGTTAATAGTCCAGTGCTTATCCTGCAGCGTCACACCAGGACTAAATTTGTATAAAATACAGTAAAATATGAAGTTTGCTATAAATGTTGCCTTAGATTCCTAAAAGTTGGTCATTGTATGAGACCCCATATAGGGTTTTGAAGGAGCAGTTGCTGGGTTTGAACTGCTAACCTTGTGGTTCACAGTCCAGTACTGATCCTACAACACCACACTAGGACCTGGAACTAAACCTACCCCTAGAGATCATTTTTCAGCCATACAATAGGCTTAAGAACCATAACACCCTTGTGGAACTCCTCAGAACAATCAGCCATAAGAGACCAAAAAACAGCATTTTCCCAAAAACAAAGTTCAGAAAGCAGAAAAGGGTGAAAAAGAAAGATGAGTGGAAATGAGGAATCTGGAGAGGAGGAAGTAGGAAGAGTTCTGTTACATTGAGAGGATTGCACTTAATGTCACAAAACACAGTATATATAAATATACTGAATAGAAAACTAATTTGTTCTATAAATTGTCACCCAAACCACAAAAAAAAATTTTTAAATAAAGAATGAACTGTTGGCTAACAAGATTGTTGATAATGAGGAATAGGTGTGTTGTTGTTGTTATTGTTTTAAGTTTTTGTTGTGAGTTGAGTGATAATTTACACAGGAGAACATCGGTTTTACACTCATCCTATGGTATTTAGTTTCATTGCAATGATTACAATCTCCTCCTGCATGCATCATCATTCAACAGTATTGGCTTTTATTCCCTCTGAGTTTTGTTTTTTGTTTTTTTTTTTAATATACACAAAAAAACTCAGGGAAATATAATCATTTAAACAAACAAAGGTCACATTCTGCAAGCCTGCCAGCACAAAGCCTTTCTTTTTCCATTAGTTTAGAGTCCTCAGCTGCTTAGTCTCTCCATGTCTCATCTCTGCCTCCATCTCTAATGTTGCTGCTTCTCTGGCTAGGATTCCATCTTTGCTCGTGCTCTTCTCCATTGATGGTCCTAGAATCCTCTGTTCCTGGAATGTAAGATTAACTATTCCCCACTTTATATTACAAAACTTCTACCTTTACAATTGTGATAATCATAATTAGTCATGATAACAATTACTCACCATTGAGTCATAAGAATCTTATCCCCATCCGCTTTCACCAGACCTGTCTAGACAAGATGAAAACTATTCAGTAGGGATTCTACCTTCTCCCACACACTCTGAAACTAAACTCCCTTTTGAAAATTTGTCAGCCTGTCATTTGTGCCTCTATAGCCACACACACTCCCCATTTTAGGTACCCAATACCTAAGCTGCCCATCCCTACTAACCCTGTGTATAGAAGAGATAGGATTGATCCTTGATGTGAAGACCCCTTGTCTCTCAGTTGGTATTTTGAGCTACTGCATCCATAAGTATAGGTCAAGTTCCTCAAATTGTAGCACTTTACACTTGGTTTTTTTTTTTTTTTTTTTTTTTAATCTTCCTGTATTCGAGTTCTGGAGTCCTGGTATGGCGCTGTGGGTTAATGTACCAGACTGCAAAGCCATTTGAACTGCAAGGTTGGTGGTTCAAGCTCACCAGCAGCTCCTCAGAAACCCTATACATGGTCGCTGTGGGTTGGAACTGGCTCAAAAGCACTTAACAACAACAACAACAATTCAAATTCTAATCATCAAGCCATCAAAGCTAGGTCAAATGGGTACTATCTGCAAATTTGATCTGGTGGTACATAATCATAACTACAAACTCATTTTAATAGGATAGTTTTTTATTTTAACTTCCATATTAAGAGAAATGCTTTATAAAATTATGTTTTAGATATCTCCGATTCCTGTCAGCTGGGAAATTTAGCATAATTATAAAGTAAATTACTTTCAAGGATTTATTGTTGTTAAGTGCCCTTGAGTCAGTTCCAATTCATAGCGACTCTATATAGAGTTTCCAAGGAGTGGCTGTTGAGTTTGTACTGCCAACCTTGTGATTCTCCAGTGCTGATCCTAAAGCACAATACCAGGAGTCCAATTTCAAGGACTCCTAAAAGATTATCTGAATCAGTGCTAATATCATAAAGAGTTGGGGTTCTTTCAAAATGTCATAGAATAACGTATAGAAAAATGAGATGAATTTTCTTTTGTCAGTAGTATGAAATACGTAATTCTGTCTAGAAATTTTATTTTCTAGGTAAAAAGCTTCTAATAATAGATATATAGTATCTGTGTAAACATGCATTAGATTTTTGTGGTCCATCTTCAGATCCCATGGCCTTTTATATCTTGGATATGACAAAGATCTTATCAAATTGAAACTTTTTGTTTTTCCTGATACAAGTAAGGTACTTTTTTGTCTTCAAAGAAAATAATTAGCATGATGAAAATTGTATGTTTTCCATATTTTCACTTAAATTATAGGGATATCCAGGTCCTCCTGGGATTCCAGGATCCATGGGTCCACTGGGATTACCTGTAAGTACAAAAGAGAGCTTATGATTCTTTCTAGAATGTTCTTTTAAAGTTTAAATTAATACTCTCATCGTGCTAAATTGTTTTGTTTTCATGGAAAATTAGTCATGGGTAAACTGGTGGAGTATTTCATAGTATCTTGAACTTCCTCGCCTCCATTTGCCATAGTTGTGCTATTTATTACTAGCTTTTAATAGTCAATACTACCAGTTTTAATTCTGAAGTTTAAAACTCAAAATTTCAAATGTTAAAACTTTATTTTGAGTAATCAAGATTAGAAGCAAGATCAACTGGATGATCATGAATCACAATCATAAATTGCAACATTTTTAAAAGAAATTTTCAAATATTCTCAAATAACCAGATAAAAGACATAGAAAATATATCTTTATTAAACAAAATTGGGTTTTGGAAATACTCTGTTTTTTGTGGAATATAATGAAATCTTATAGCTAAAGAAATAAATTTCACCTATTAAGATTTGATAACTATTATGATTTTAAATGTGAAAAGGGTCCATTTTTAGGCCCCGTTATCAAAACTATTCTTATTGGAAAGTATTTATGCTAAGTTATATAAAGCTTCTGTTTGGATGATAAGCCTGATTTTCTAACATATTGATATATATGCTGCTGGCTTCTAAAATTTGGAATATGGTCTATCTCTTTACTCACATAAAATAATAAATAAATCTCAAACCCTATGAAAGTTCAGTCATTTTTTTATCTACATAATATAGTGTGGCGCTCAGGATAATGCACTAGACCACAATGTCAGTTTGAACCACAAGGTCAGTGGTTCACACTCACCAGCCTCTCCTCAGAAACCCTTTACAGGGTCATTAAGAGTCGGAACTGAGTCCACATCACTTAATAACAACAATATTACATAAATACATAAATTTTGATTTCTGATTGAGTTATTATTGAAAGCTATAAGAAAAAAAACAATTAATTACTTCATTAGAGTTAATTTAATAATAAATAGCAATTTATTTCACTACTCATCTCTCAGTTTGCCGTGCTGTGGTAGCTTGCCTATTTCTATGACATTGGAAGTTTGTTACCAATATTTTAAATATCAGTGAAGGTATACCCATGGTGGATATGTTTCAGCTGAGCTTCCAGACTGAGACAGATTAGGAAGAAGGAAAAGTGGGCTACTTTTGATTATTTATCCACTGAAAACCTATGCAGAGAAGTGGAACACTGTCAGATAGCACCAGAATGTTGAATACTGAAACATGCTTAAGAGCACTAGAATGTTGTCAGATGTAGCACCAGAAGATGAACCCCTCTGGTTAGAAGGCACACAAAATATAACTAGAGAAGAGCTGCCTCTTCAAAGTAGAATTGACGGTGATGACATGAATATAGTAAAGTTTTTGGGACCTTCATTGGCTAATCGGGTACCTTCATTGGCTAATCAAAATGAAGAGAAGCAGCTGTAAAAATCTATTAATAATTGGAACATGGAATAACAATTATGAATCTAGGAAAATTGCAAGTTGTTAAAAATAAAATGGGATGCATAAAAATCAATATCCTAGGCATTATTGTTGTTGTTGTTGTTAGGTGCCATCGAGTTGGTACTGACTCATAGTGACCTTATGCACAGCAGAACGAAACACTGCCCAATCTTGGGCCAACCTCATTACTGTTGCCACACTTGAGTCCATCGATGCTGCCACTTGGCCATTAGTGAGCAAAAATGGTCTGGTATTGGCCATTTTGAATCAGACAATCATATGGTTTACTATGCCTGGATTGACAAATTGAAGAGGAATGGTGTCACATTCATCATCATAAAGAACATTTTAAGATCTATCTTGAAGTATAATGTTGTTTGTGATAGGATAATATCCATATGCCTACAAGGAAGACCAGTTAATACCACTATCATTCAACTTTATGCACCAACCACTAAAGCCAATGATGATGAAACTGAAGAATTCTTCCAACTTCTTCAGTCTGAAATTGATCAAATATGAAATCGAGATGTATTGATAATTACTGGTCATTAGAATGCAAAGGTTGGAAACAAAGAGGAAGGATCAGTAGTTGGAAAATACGGCCTTGATGATAGAAATGATGCTGGAGAACAACTGATAGAATTTTGCAAGACTAATGACTTGTTTATTGAATATGCCTTTTAAAAATAACATAAAAGATGACTATACACATGGACCTCACCAGATAGCATACACAGAAATCAAACTAACTACATTGTGGTAAAAGACAGTGGAAATGTTCCATATCATCAGCCAAAACAAGGTCAGGGAAAGACTGTGGAACATACCATCAACTGCTCATATGTAAGTTCAGGCTAAAGCTGAAGAAAATTAAAACAAGTCCAATAGAGCTGAAATTTGATCTTGAAAAGATCCCACCTGAGTTTAGAAATAATCTCAAAAACAGATTTGATGCACTAAACACTAATGAGACCAAAGACCAGAAAAGTTGTGGGATGACATCAAAACATCATCAGGAAAAAAGCAAAATGTCATTAAGAAGAAAAGAAAGAAGGAAAAGATCAGGAATGGATGTCAGATGAGACTCTGAAACTTGCCCTTCAGCATAGAGATGCTAAAGCAAATGGAAGAAATTAGAAAGTAAAAGAGATGAACAGAAAACTTTTAAGGGCAGCTTGAGAAGACAAAGTCAGCTATTATACTGAAATGTGCAAAGACCTGGAGTTAGAAAACCAAAAACGAAGAACATGCTCATCATTTCTCAAGATGAGGGAACCAAAGAAAAAATTCAAGCCTTGAGTTGCAATTGTGAAGAATTCTATAGGCAAAATATTGAATTATACAGAAATATCAAAAGATGGAAGAAATACACAGAGTCACTAAGCCAAAAAGAAATGGACTATGTTCAACCATTTCAAAAGATACCATATGAGTAAGGTGGGGCTTGATGGCAGATTGGGTGAAGTGCAGTGAGGATCTCCGTCATCAATAACACAAAATACCAGACCAAGCAGGTTCAGGGGATGGTCCCAAAACTCTGAACTACATATAAAGGAATATTTAGAAAGTTTGAAGGCTTACAGACAGTGGAATTTGTAGCAGAAGCAAGAAATCTAGTGCTTTCTGATTGGTCAGCCTCAGTGGCTCCTGGAGCAGCCATCTTGGGCAAGACAGAGCAGGGGAAGGATCAGAGCCACTGTAGATGCCTGACACCTAACAAATCCTCAGAGATAGAGGTGGACATTCTTTTTTTTGTTGTTGTCTCGGTTCATTGGTCTCTCACTATCTGTGCACCTTCATTCTGGTTACTAGAGAGGATGTCTGAGTGAGTGGACACCACCACCACCACCACCACCCTAGAGGGTTCTAATACACATGCACACAGATCTGCTCAAAATCAAAAGAGAAAGTTTCCACTTAAAACCAAATGGCAGCACAAAACAGCCACAGCTGGCTCTGTACTGTTTATCACTAGGAAAAAGGCCTGAATGAGGTTGTGGAGAAGGAAAGAGACAGACTAAAAAGCAAACAGGCTGAAAATTAAATCCTAAGTCATAATGACCAACTGTAGAATCTTGAAATTTCTCAGATGGCCTTGAAAGCAAGAAGCCAAAAGAAGGACATTAAGTCGTACTTATATATATATTTTTTCTCTTCTCTCTTTTCTGTGGTTATAGACTACATTATCCAATCTGTCTTTTTTGCTGTTGCTGCTTTGCTTCTTGGTCCCTTCTTTACCTTTAGGGGGCTCTTTCTCTCCCTACATTACCCAAGAAGAGACAGAAACTGCAGTCATATAGTCCAGCTATAATCACACCCTATAACCTCCTACCATCCAGGCAAGAACGAATACCAACTGCTATATACCATCAGATAGGCAGCCAACACATGTGAAAGTTACTCTGAGTCAAGTAAAAAGAAAAGTGAAAAGGGAAGCCCATCTCCTGATCACATCTACCTGGAAGCAATCAGAAAGCATAATAAAACATCAACGTACATTCATCTAATTATTAAGGTGACAGTTAACTACTGAAGATGCCCAAGAAACAGATGACCATCTCGTCACATGTCCAGAAACAAGATAAAGTGACTAAGACAAATGAGCTAGAGGTAGACCTAAACTTCATATTGGATGGAGCGCAGGCTTTGTAATGCCAGAGAAGGAATTCAGAAAAACTATAATGAAATTTATCGAAATACTTTACAGAGGATTTGAGAAAAAAAAGGAAAAGTCAGGAAAGTGATACAGGAACAATGAAATAAGATAAATACAGCATTAGAAATAATTCAAAACCTTTGAAAAGAGGTCCAAACAATTAATATTAGAATATCAGAAATGGACAATACACTGAAAGGGCAAAGGAGTAGAATTGAAGAAATGGAAGCCAGAACTAGTGAGTTGGAAGACAATCTCTCACTACTGCTAAGATAAAAAGGCAAGAAGAAAAAAGGATAAAAAAAATATGAAGAAGGTCTAAGACTCATGTTGGACGACATGAAGAGGAATAACTTTAGAATTATTGACATTCCAGAACAGGAAAAATCACACAAACCCACAGAGGAGATAGTAGATAGTGGAAGAAATTTTCCCTAACATCCTTAAAAATGAAAAGATAAACATTCAAGAAGCTCAACAAACCCCAGGAGGGATAGACTCCAAAAGAAAATCACCAAGGCATATAATAATCAAGCCTTCCAGAATCAAAGATAACAGAGAATCCTGTAAGCAATTAGGGAAAAGAGAAGTGTTATATACAAAGGCAAGCAAATCAGATTAAGCTCAGATCTCTCAGCAGAAACCATGCAGGCATGAAGGCAATGGAGAGAGATATATAAAACCCTGAAAGAAAAAAAAAAAAGCCAACCAAGAACCATCTACCCAGCAAAGCTGTCAAACAAATATGAAGGTGTAATCAAAACATTCCAGGATAAACAGAAGCTAAGGGATTTTGCCAAAGCCAACCTTGCGCTACAAAACATCCTAAACGGAGTTCTATAGACAGACAAAAAACAGGGTGGACATACATAGCAG